GTTTCATAAATACGCACCCCCACTTTTCCTGCACAAAATAATACATGTTTTCAATCACATATTTCTAAAGGAAGAAATACCCTCTTCATTTAAAGAGTCTGTAATGTTACCACTACATAAGAAAGGTGATATAAATGACCCTGGTAATTACAGAGGACTATCACTTACTGACTCAATGTGCAAAATCTTTACGTCTATTCTTTAAAACAGAATAAATTTCTGGTTGTCAACGCACAAGATTTTGAATTAATTTCAGGCCGGATTTAGAAAAGAATATTCAATAATTGATAACATATTCAATGTAGTGAGTATTATCAACATAAATAAACTAAAGCATAGACATACATACGCATTCTTTGTCGACTTTTCTTTGGCATTTGACCTAATTCCGAGCTTATTTTACAAACTTTCTACGATAGGTATATCAAGAAAGATTGTAACAACAATACAACTTTTATATAACCAAACACGAAGTAAGGTATGGGACGGTAATACGTACTCAGATTATTTTAAGGTGGAGTCTGGAGTTAGACAAGGTTGTATATTGAGCCCTGTTCTCTTTTCACTATATCTGAATGAACTGCCAGAATTACTTCCTAGCGGTGTTAATGTCGCCAACACAAATGTTAAAATTCTTCTATATGCAGATGAGATTGTTTTGTTATCAGATTCTCCTACAGGTTTACAGAAAATGATTGATGTTTTGCAAGGCTGTTGTCAGAGTTAATCTCTTGAAGTCCAATATAATGATTTTTAGAACTGGTACCAGAATACCATCTTCAATAACCAGAACATCGAACTTGTAAATTCTTATAGATATCTTGGGGTAGATATTACGTATAATCTTTCATTTAAGAAGCACTTAACAAATCAACTATCAGCTTCAAAAATTGCTATAAATTCGACGTGGTCAAAATATATAAAAAGTCCAAAAATTTCCATATCTAACAAATTAAAAATATTTGAATCTTGCTATAAATCAATACTGTGTTATGCCTCTCAGGTTTGGGGATACCAGAAGCATGATGATGTGGAAAAATTGTTTAGATTTTTCATAAAGAAAATGTTATGCCTGCCTAAAAACACTCCGAACTACATGTTGTATCTGGAAACTGGTCTAAATTCCATTTTCTCTTCTACACTCAAATCATATTTCTGTTATATTAAAAAGTCCTGCAATTGCATTCAAATCGACATCCTCGAATCTTGGCTGAATACATCTTAGAACTGAAAAGTTCATGGGATAACGAATGGACAACCCTATGCCAAGTCATAAATTATGTACATCCCAACAATAGCATTCCACTATGCTTCAATTGCAAAAAGGTTATTATGTATCTACACTCCAAAGAAAGAATTGATTTTGAAGTAGCAGCACGAAATTCTCAGTTCCATGATTTATTCCCTCTGCTAGATTATATTGAGATCCCAAATTTAACTGCAAAATTTTCACATGCAACCAGCATAATCATAAAAGCTAGAGGCGGTTTCCAATACCGATGGAATCTCTATGCAATACAAACCAGCCTGAAAATACCTTCCACTTTGTTGGTTTTTGACCAGTATTTAAAGCCTACAGAAATATATATTTTAATAAAATTTTAATGAAGTAATAAATATATTAAATGGCACAAATTTATCATCGCTATACTCATATCTTGAAAACTGTATTAGGTACAGAAATTTATTAATACACGAATTTAGTTTTTAATGATTCAAAATTTACAACTATATATATATATATATATCTATATATATTGTAAGGTTCAATGCCTTTGAAAATATTCCTTATGAAAACATCCTCTTTTTAAATAAAATACGTCCGTATAGTTGAACAAGTGATAAGACAATAATTTTATTATTCTTCAGTTTTCAGTACTCATAAATTATATTTCATGGAATGCTTTTCCCAAAATAATTTTGTGAAAATGAATTTATGTAAGTGTCTTTAACTCGGCCACGCTCCTCTGCACACGTCCTAGTGATGCATTTGTAAATAAATGCTATATTATTATGGGATTTTCATATTAGATGAATAATATTAATCCTCGGCTTCTGCATTAAATAATTCGTATATCTTAATTTTATCGGCCGAAACAATACCCTCGTATGGCTTTCGAGATCGTTTAGATCCTGGCATATCTCATATCTGTCATTTCCCAAATATTTAACTATCTGAAACGGTCCACAAAATTTCGGAAGAAGTTTTCGACATCCTTCTGTTGCTCTGGACTTTTTAACTAATACTAACTGGTCCTTCGTATAAGCAGATCCTTCTTTTCTTTTCTGATCGAACTTTCGTTTCTGATATTCCTGCATTTTGTCTATTGATTTTTTTGATTGATCTCTACTAAAGACAACATTTGTTTGTGTATTTTCTAAAACTTCATTACTCAAGTAAGCGCCATATTTTCCTTTTAGTAAGAAACCAAATAAAAGCTCATTGGGAATTTTCCCAGTCGATTTGTTGATAGTTGAATTAATTCCCCACTGCAAATTACTTATGGATTCATCCCATTGAGTTTCATCTTCGGTGGATGCACATATTGCAGATAGGATTGTTCTGTTATACCTTTCCGCCTGACCATTTGCACGAGGCGTTGCAGTTGCATTATGAATAACTTTTATTCCGCAATCATTAGTAAAGCTCATAAACTTATGACAAGTGAACGTGGTCGCTCTGTCACAAACAATTCGCCTCGGAACGCCAAAAATCTTAATAAAGTCTTCTAAAAATTTAATGACGTGCTCTACTTTAGTTGTTGGCACCGCTTTCAACTGTACATATTTTGAAAATCCATCCACCATTACAATAAGGTACATATTCCTCTTCCTACTTGGAGTGAATGGCCCCATATGATCAATATGAATTGTATCAAATGGAACTTTCACCTTTTCTATTGGATGTAGCCCCCCAACTTGCTTACCAAAAGGTAATTTGTTGTAAGAATATGGCAAACAACATGCAATGTATCGGTCCCATGTTAGCAAACCAATATTTATTACATATAGCAGAGATAGTTTTATCAAGAGAAAAGTGTCCTTATCATGATGATTAAATACGATTTCCCTTCTGCACGTCTTTGGAACAACCCATCTCAATCCTTTTTCAGTTCTCTTGTACAACCTCCCCTGTTTCAATGCGTATTCGTTATGTATTCGTTTCACTTCATTATTGTGTGGGATATTTTTAAGAACGTCTATTAGATATTCGCATCTACCAAATACCCAATCCATTTCCGAAATATCTACACGAAAATTATCAACTGTTAAAGTATCAGAAATTGTTACTGAATTGCGACTTAATGCATCCACATGATTCATTTGAGCACCTTGGCGATACTCTACCTCAAAATTATATTCTTGTAAAGTTAACCACCATCTGCCTATTCTAAGAACTGTTCTCAAAGCTGCACAGTCCGTTACAACTTTAAATTCTATTCCTAGTAAATACACCCTGAAGCGTTTTAATGCATAGACAACCGCCAATGTTTCCAATTCATAAGAATGGTACCGTTGTTCCTCTTTTGATGTTGAATGACTAAAATAGGCCACAGGTTTTAATAGATTATCTGCCTGCCTTTGAAGTAAAACGGCACCTACTCCCCATTTACTTGCGTCTGTATGCAATTCAGTATATGCTTCTCTGTCATAAATTGTTAATATGGGACGTTCCGTTAAGCGCTGTTTTAATTCTATAAATGCCTTATGCTGCTCTTCTCCCCATATAAATTTTGAGTCCTTTTTTTATCAAACTTTGAATAGGTCTTGCAATCAAAGAATACGGATTACTAAATTTCCTAAAATCCCCAAGAACTGCCGTACCTCATGTATATTTTTTGGCACGGGAAATTCCAGCACAGTTTTTATTTTTTCTTTTCCTGGTTTCACCCTCTCTGAATTTATTTCAAAACCTAAATATTGAATAGAATCGTGAAGGAAAAAGCACTTTTTTAAATTAAGTGTAACTCCATTATCTGCCAGTCTTTTTAACACAATTTCAAGTTTATCGAGTCCACTTTCAATCGAATCGGATGGGAATAATATATCGTCCATATAAACCATTGCCGTAGTAAACCTTAAATTTCCAAGAACTTTATTCATAGTCCTTTGAAATACAGCAGGAGCATTTACTAAACCAAATAGCATTCTCAAGAATTCATAATGGCCATCGGGTGTTATAAATGCAGTCTTATGAGACGAGTCATTATCCATCGAGATCTGGTAGTATCCACTAGACAATCTAGACTAGTGAAATATTTGCTGCCTTTTAATCTATCAATTTCATCATACATTCTTGGCATTGGAAAAACTTCTTTCTCGGTTTTTCTGTTCAGAGCTCTGAAATCTATGCACATTCTGTACCCCCATCTTTCTTATTAACTAAAAGAATGGAGCTTGAGTACGAGGATGATGAGTCCTGAATTAAGGCAGCTCTTCTCAATTCTTCTACCAAATCTCGAACAATTTCTCTCTCTGACCAAGACATTCTATATGGTTTATAGGACACTGGAACCTCATCTTTTAATATTATTTTCATCTGCGCCTCTTTTATGGTCCCTAATTCAGACAAATCAGTAGCAAAACCGCTCCTATATTTGTTCAAAAGTTCAACCAAACTTTCAGTTTGTTCTTTATTCAAACAACTAATTTGAGCTTTAACGTCAGAAATGCTAAAGATTTTTAATTCCCTGGTATTAAGTAACATGTTCTCACAAAAGCTATTGCTTTCCGGTTCACAAGCGTAAACTCTAGCTATTCGCATGCCTTCTCTAAAAGTAATTTCATTATTAGACTCGTTACTGACACATATAATTCCCCTTTTCCCTAGAATACTTCTCTTAACGCGATACTCTTCATTCGGTTTGTTAACATACATATCATCAATATAAAAACTTCCATTCTCATTGGTTTCAGTTTCCACATAACAAACTTGGCATGATTTTTTGGGATTGTGACCATTTCTTTTACGTATACAAATATTCTTTCTTTTTTATTACAATCATATTCAGGAAAGAAATTTTGTGTCCTGAACATTATCCGCACAATATTATTGGAAACAATCATCAAAATCTTCGGATGATTTATAAAAGGCCTCCCTATCAATATATCAACGTTCTGAGCGTGATCAGGAACAATATGGATATCAACTGACGCTGAAGCCGAATCGACTTCTAATTCTGAAGAGAATTTTCCAATGACAGGTATAACTGACCCACCATAACCGTTCACATGAAGACAACATGGGTCAAAGTTTTCTCTAACCTTATGGGCACTTGTCTGTTTCATTAGTATAGCTGAACTTCCAGTATCAATAAATGCATCAAAAATAACACCACTAACTCTACATTTCATAAAATAAAACGAGTTATTAATGCTAAGTTTGCCATTCGTCACTGTAATTATTTCAGGTGACTTACCTGCTACTTTTGAACATTCATGGGCCTGATGTCCCCATCGCTTACATTTGTTACACCTCTTTGCTGGTTCTTTGTATTGGTTAGCATAATGACCCTTCTTATTGCAATTAAAACATGCAATATCCTTCTCTTGAAAACCTGTTTCTCTCGAAAATGTTATAGATCGTCCTTCAATATTTCTGATTTTTGTTTGATGTTCACTCACATCATTGAACGTTGATAGATTATGACCGAAAAGATCTTCGCATGTAAGAAAATTTCCCGCTCTTGCTCCGATTTGAATACCCCCATTCGGTAGTCCATCAATGATGCAAGAAACAGCACCACGTCCCGTAATTTTGCATGCATCAATCAACACCTTTTTATCATAGTAGTACCTTGCCATTGATTCATCCGGCAGTTTTTTACGGTTAACTAGTCGCTTAAGCGTTTCTGCGAAATCCTGATGTTCCGGAAAAGATTGAACCAAAAAGGTTTTCCATTCATCACAAGTCTTCGAGTAATTATTTAAGTTCTCGAACCAAAGCTTCGCTAAACCTTTTAATCGGCTTTGCATAACGTAAATTTTGTAGTGGTTGTTCCAACCGTAAAGTTCGCCAATTTGTTCGATCTTCCGAATCCATTTTGAAACTGACAAATTCATCGTTCCTGGCTCAAAATCTGGGATACAATGTGGACTGGAATTTATACTGCTAGTTTGTTGCCTTTCACTCAATGATTTCACCAAACTTTCCAGAGCTTGAATCCTTGCACAAAGAACCAACTTAGGCCTGAAAATACGAATGCCAAATTTTATCGAAATCGGTCCAGATATAGCTATAGCTCCCATATATATTGTTCATCCGATTTGTTATTTTTGTCCTCCGCAGCCGTAGTATGCACTCTGTAACGACAATATTTTGGGAGATATATCAAACGCAGCTCAGAAATACCTTTGCTAAATTTTATGGAGATCGGTTCAGATTTGGATATAGCTCCCATATATAACTTCGTCCGATTTACCTTTTATTGTGCACCAAATGTCTAATATTTGCCCCAATAGGATGGAATTTGTCACATACGACCGAATTGAGTCTAGAAGCTGGTACACCAAATTTGGTGAAGATCGGTTTAGAAATAGCTTTGGCTTCCATATATGTTGTTCTATATATATATATATATATATATATATATATATATATATATATATATATATATATATATATATATATATATATATATATATATATTTCTTTGTTTTTTCTCCATTAGGATCTTTCTCCATGTACACATTCGAACGTAAAAACCTGTAGAACAAGTTAAAGAATATCTGTCGGTTTCCCCTTCTAGTACCTCATTCACAAAGAGTCACAATTTTCAATACTTTTGTCTGTCATAACTTGCGAAACAAGTCAGCGATTCTTTACAACTTGTCATATCTAAATATATCTCCCTTTGCCAGAAACCTGAGATGAATATGGAGGCACCAGAAGGGGTTCACAGATATTGTAGTTGCAAAAATATTTTTAATTGTGAATTTTGAGGAGAGTTCGATGCTTATTTCGCTTTCTTTGTGGGGGAGATACAAGAAGGAGTGGACCGATATATCCCTTCTTCACAACAGATATTTTGTTAGTGAAAATAATGGGATGTGTGAAATATAAAGATAATCTAATGCTCTTTTCGGATTTTAAAAACGTTTTTGTTATTTAAAAAGTTAGACACTGTGTAAGGGAGGTACCAGAAAGTCCGATCTCTGCCGTTTTTATAACAGAACCTGTGTTCATAGAAATATTCAGATGTACCAAGTCTAAATGGAATCGGATGTAAATTTCGCGTGTTATTAGTTTAATGGATATTAAATATACTAGAAGGAGTAGACCGATATATTTTATCTTAACACCAGATCTTAGGTTTATAAAAATATTGGGATGTGTGTGTGTGAAGACAATTGGATTCTTACATCACATCCTTTGTGGCGGAGGCACTTGATAGAGTGGACCGATATTATTCATTTTTGTACCTGGCCTAGAACTGACGCAAATATTAGGATTTGCAAAGTTGGAGCAATATTGGATTATTGCTTCTCTTTCCGTGCAGAAAATATATTTTTTGTTTTTTTTTTTCCGAAAATTTCGACCTTTTTGTGGGTGATGTACCAGAAGGAGTGGACCGATGTATTCCATCTTGGCACCAGACCTTGGGTTAATAAAATTATTGGGATGTGTGAAAATTGAAGACAATCGGTCTATTAAATCAAATTTTATAAGAGTTGTAGTTATTCAAATTTTTACTCTTTGTGGGAGAGGTATTATCTGATTATCTTTTGTCTTTCTGTGCAGAAAATATATTTTTTGAAAATTCCTACATTTTGTGTGGGAGGTACCAGAGGGACCGATAAATGTTATTTTCACACAAGACCTTGGGTTAGTAAAATTATTGAGATGTGTAAAATTTGAAGATAATCGGACTCTTACTTCACATTTTATAAGAATTGTAATTATTCACAATTATTACAATTGTCCATCTCCGAACTCGATCTAAATTTGACAATAATATTACAATGTACTAAGTTTGGACCAAATCGGATACTCCCTTCGAGAGTTGTCGTGCGCATTAGCCAGCCGCACAGACAGACGGACGGACGGACATCGCTAGATCGATTCCAAATGTCCTGAAGCGGATTTGGTCCAAAGAGACCTAGGGTCAAACCGTTATTTCGACTAGGCAAGTTTTGGCCAGATCAAATGATATACATCCTCTGTAGCCATATAGCTGAGAGTATAAAAAGGACAAAAGTCTAGCGGGCCTACTCTTTCGCACATTCACTCAAAGATTGTCATTTCTCAAAAAATCCAATTTCGAGAAAAAAACGCATCAATTTGATTTCTCGAATTAAAAGTTTATTATCACAAAAAGTATAGTATATGTACGTTGACATTAATTTGCATAGATTTGCTAAATTAAGGTGATTCAGAAACTCAGTATACTATTTTGTTAATTTATGCCAAAGTTCAAGTAAACAAGTAAAAAAAGTATCGGTCGGTTTTGCCGACAGATGTATACCCTCAGCCCTCTTGACCCTCTATGGGGTGGGTTTTGAAAGAATTGGTGAAGATTGTCCATTTCGTATCGGACCATTTGTCCATTTCGAGCGACCCCTGCTGGGGATTCGAGCCACTAAGGTATTTTCTATTTTTTAAACAATTGATCTTAACAAACACTACACTTTTAGTAATAAATTTCCCTGGCAGAAAAGAAAATTGCAGCCGGATTCACCGTTTAATACTTAACAGAACATACTGTTTGTCGTATATTTGGTAATAAACCATTGATCAAGTGGTCGGTTTCACCTGAATTGAGCCCGGAGTGATTATGTATTCCGTAAGGTAAAACAAGTGATACCAAAATCCCAAAAAAAACTTGAGTAAGGAGATAAAAGTGAAATTTTGTAAGCATCCATAAGCAATAATTCATCACTAAATGAAAAACCAAAATTTTTCTTATATAATTTAAATCTCTATAACCGATTTTGCTGTTCTAAGCATATATATATATATATATATATATATATATATATATATATTTTTTTTTTTTTTTTTTTTTAATTCGAGTGTTGTCTTTTCTATCAAAATATCAATTTTTTTTGTCTTGTTGTAAAAGTGGGGCGGGCGGAGCCGACTTTATGATAACCTACACCACTTTGCTAATTTAGTAGAGCTCCACATAACAATTAAAAGTTTTAATGGGAGAATTCAATCATAGACGACATGACTACAAATTTAAAGTTCAAAGGACTAAATATGCGAAGCATTTGTATCTTATACATTCGGACTTGTATTGCTCATTTGGTGCAAAAATAATTTGAAATCATATGAAGATATATATGTAAGCTATATCCAAATCTGAACCGATCTCAATAAAATTTGGCAAAGATATTTCTGAGCTGTATTTGATATATATCTCGGAATATCGTTGTTATGGCGTGCATATTATGGCTGTGGGTAACAAATACAACAAATCGGATGAACAATATATATGGAAGCCAAAGCTATTTCTAAACCGATCTTCACCAAATTTGGTGTACCAGCTTCTAGACTCAATTCGGTCGTATGTGCCAAATTCCATCCTATTGGCGCAAATATTAGACATTTGGTGCACAATAAAAGGTAAATCGGACGAAGTTATATATGGGAGTTATATCCAAATCTGAACCGATCTCGATAAAATTTAGCAAAGGTATTTCTGAGCTGCGTTTGATACATCTCCCCAAATATTGTTGTTACAGAGTGCATACTACGGCTGCGAAGGACAAAAATGACAAATCGGATGAACAATATATATGGGAGCTATAGCTATATCTGGACCGATTTCGATAAAATTTGGCATTCGTATTTTCAGGCCCAATTTGGTTGTTTGTGCAAAATTCCATACTATTCTGGCTGATATTACACGTTTGGTGCATAATAAAAGGCAAATCGGACGAAGATATATATGGGAGCTATATCTAAATTTTTACCGATTATCTCCAATTTCAATAGGGTTCTTCCTGGGCCTAACAAATTATTTGTGCAAAATTTCATCTTAATCGGATAATAAATGCGACCTGCATTTTGTTCACAAAAATGGACAGACGGACGGACTGACATGCATAAATCTATGGAGATCCTCAAAAGTAACTATGGGTCTACCTCGCTTCCTTCTCCATGTTACAAACAAATGCACAAAGACATAATACCCTGACCACCTTGTGGTGTAGGGTATAATAAGAAATTCCGCAATATTCAGTGAGCTCCTACTATATATACACATATTATTTACATATATATTTTTTCCTTTGGTTGCATTGCATGCTCTTTATAAAGTGTGTTGTGTGTATGTTTATGTATGTCGCTGATTTTGATGTCCCCAATGCAGTATGACTAGATTTAAAATATTGTTGCAGCTAAAACAGCATAAAAATAATGCCAAACAAAAAATGTAATTGCCAAAAAATAATGCAAAATATACATACGTTTTTTAACCGTGCAACACTATGTGTTGTAAGTTTGATTGGGCCAAAAATTATGTAACACTTTGAAATTCTGGCTTCCCACATAGAAAAGTATATATTGATATTACAATCTCGCTGGGCTGATCTAGCTTTGTTAATTTGCAATCAGACTACAGGTCACAATTATAGACCAATCGACGCGGAATTTAGCATGGGGGTAGAGCTTAGGACTGGGCAAAAGCTTTCCAATTTGGATGGTCATCGGATAATATTGAGCGGGTGAAATAGACCATAAGTTTTGTGTTAAAAAAAAAAAAAAAAACAATTTTCCCATTAAACAGCGAATATTCTTAATCCCAGTGAAATTACAAACAGACGAAAAGGCCAATTCTGACCGTTTCGTAGATGTCGATAGTAAAGATATCGCATATATGTAGCGACATATATTCGCTAGAATGCTTACATCTCAAAAATAGCTGGGCTGATTTTGACAAATCTTGTCAATTCAGAATGCCCTCTTGACAGGAAAGAAAAAAAATCTAGACAAACACGCGTGAAAAGATCCCAATAAAGATGAGAATATTGATTTTGTGATATTTTCTTATATTTTTCCATTTTGTCACATGAGATATTTTCACTTTGACTTACAATATTGAATTTTACATTTTGTAATATTTTTACTCCTTACAACACTATATAGTTAGTTGAATAGAGTTGGGGTTAGTGTCAGAATAGAAGCCTGATGTTTTTGGAGATGATCGCCAAATATTTA